GTCACAGTAGTTTATGTTAGCTCCCTTATCTATCCAAAAGTCACGACCTAAAATTCCATCGTATTGCCATTGAAAATTGTCATTCATAACATGGAACGTATGCGTGGTTTCATACGGTCCCGCGAATAGCCTTAATTCAGTTGTTCCCTTGGTTCTCATGATGGTATTTGAAATTCCCTTAACATTTATGCCTTCACTGCAACTAATCTCTACTTCTGGTTTTAAGCTTGAACTTCTAACTAAAGAGATTTCGGCGCCCGTGTCAATCAAGAATTTCAGTTCATTTGTTTTACTTAGATCAACTCCTAAGGTCATGGTATCCAAATTTGATTTATAATGCTTCTTGCACTCGTTTATTCTAATTTGTGGACAACCCCTTAATTGTTCGGCCGGGCAGTCGTCTGGTTGCTCGACAACTCCCTTCCGCCATTTCCCGAATTAACCCATCCCTTTCCTTGGGATCTACATACATCAGCTGTGTGACCTCTGCGACCACACTTTCTACACGTCCGTCCCTGCGGACAATCTCTTGCGATGTGGTTGCCACAACCGCAATTAAAACAACTCATAGCCTGTACATCGGCCGAAAAGTCTGCGTCGTGTCCCTCATGATCGCAACAACTTTAAACTGCATTAACATTGGGCCTGTCTCTACCGACAAACCTTACATTATTAAAATCACGTCTGTCTCTACCGACAAACCTTACAACATTATCACTGGATCTGTCTCTACCGACAGTCCGTAACTCAGGGCGGGGATAACTGTTTGAGCTCAAACATCTACTGGCCGTGTGGCCGATCTTATTGCACTTATTGCATCTCAAGGGGGGCCCATTAGCTCCGGCGGGCGATCTCTCTTTCATGGAGAGGATAGCGCTCTCCTCTTCCAATGAAATTTCTATAGCCTGAGAGAGGAGGATGGATTCTCCCCTACTACGAACGATAGTTTGAATTCGTTCGCTGTGGAGGCCTCGTACGAAATAAGCCTTCCCTAAGTGATTTATAAGGCCTATGGCTCCCAAAATCTCTTCTGGCTTACAAACTCGCCTGGCAGCTTCCCTTAAGTCGGTCTGCAATTCGTCTACTTTGTTTCCCCATGAAGCTATACTTTCGCTCTTATCCTGACGAGCGTTAAACATTTTACAAGCGTAATAATCTAACGTACGCCTCCTGGCGTAGATTTCTTCTAAAATACTTTTCACCAGCCTCCAGCTGTGTGTTAGGTCTCTTACCATTAATTTGGATCGGGCATCTCCTGTGATCTTAGCTTTTACAAACTTCAACAAAGTGTCGTGTTTACTGGGGTGCACTAGTTCGAAAACAACGTCCACGTTTTCAATAAATTCCCTTAATTTTCGCTTATGTCCATCGAAAGGATGTGTGATTAATCTCATGGCCTCTGGGACGCTACAGTACTGCGCGCCTTCATCGGCGGCAGAGTCAATATCGCTACTGTTATCTGCCTCCATGTCTCACTTATTTGATCTCTGCCCTAAATTTTACAGCGTATTCCAAAATTTAATTTATTCACTTTCTAACTTAATGTCTGCTCAGTCTAGCAGAAATCAGAGCTCATCCACTGTCCTACAGTTAATTCGTACGTGTTTGGGCGATATCTTCTTCCCGAAGGAAAATCTTCCTAATTCGTAACCGAAATCTTACAAAATAATATTATTAAAGCTGACTTCCAAGGAATAAAAAATTTTTGAGCGTAGCTTACCCAATTGATGTTCTTCGCGGCTGCGGCTGGCGCAGGGGACGTCCCACGAAATTCCTGCGAGATGTGGAGATGTGGATCGGGTGAAGCTTCACTAGGCAGGGAAGCTGGTCTCGATGCTCGGTCCTTGAAATGGACACAGGCTTCTTCTTCTCAGATAGGCTCTTCGGTGGCCTCTAGAATTAGTTTTGATGTCTAGAAGATCTCGACGATTGGGTGATTGTGTGATGGTGTTGTCTCGTAGTCAGTCAACCTCCGGCCAGAGCTCGTGGATCCAACGTTAAGCATAACCGGAGTGATGAAAGATGCAGAAGCAACTGATTAATGGGAGAGCAGGTCAGAACCACTACACTCTCCCGCGAAGGGCGAAATTACGACTCTTAGGCAACCTCTAAGAGAGTAATATGATGAATCGTCGAGATGAATTCCTTGAAGTTTCCAATCTACTGCTCGTACTGGTCGGTTGGCTGTGTCCAACCCCACGTCTGACACCAGAAATGTTGGTACGACGTGTTGTATCCCTATGATGGTGATGGGATACGAGAGGTTAGCCGAGCGGGAGACTGTTCCTCGTAGTACGTCGGACACTTAAGGATTGAAATCCAAGTCTAACTCGCAGTACGATACAGTGAATATATATATTTAATATAAATGATGTTGATACAAATGTTGTACAGAGATCAAGAATATTGCCTGAATAGAAGTTTATGAAGTCCCTATGACGGAGCACAGAGACTCAGTGCAGTGTATGAAGTGAAATCTATGAAGTCCGATCCGCGCCCCAAAACATGGTCTTTTAAAGAGGCTAGGATGGGCGTTGGCTGGCAGTCACATGCTATGATTTCACGTGGAGTACATGCTCATAGCAGATGATCCCAAAGTTCCTTGTTCTCTAGTCGACAAACAATTGTTGCATCATGCATGTTTGTCTCAACCAGAGTTATCTCATTGTAATTATAAATTCCTGTCTGTACAGTCAGACAAAATCATACACATAATGTTTAAAGTAATATATATGTATGTTAAGAGGTGCATATATTACATCCCTTTAAAAACTCAGGCTTTGCCAGCCACGGTGGACACCACGCTAA